CAAATAGAGAAACAGAAAAAGGGCGCACCAACCAACCTAGTGCATTATCGTTTAAAGATTTATTGAAGAAATAAAATATGTATCATACTCAGAATAGACATAAAAACACAGGCATGTCAAACTGAACAAGATGTAGGATCCAAACAACATCTGAGTCCATACGATGGAACCCTGGATGACCAACTGGCTAACACTTTTCTAGGACACAACCTCTTCCTCAGAGCCAACCTGAGGAAGAGGTTGTGTCCTCAAAACGCGTTGAGATCTCTTTCATTGGAGCTGTGAAAATGTGTGTCACATTTGCTCAGCTATTTTTTACATAGACTCTTTTGTGCACTAGTATGACAGCACTGACTCACTGTACTGTACTTGGGGAAGAGCAGCGTTTTCACACTCAGAGAGAGGATGTAGAAACTACAGAACAAACCCTCTCCTCATCTTCATAAAATCTTGAACAATGTAGCTGATAACCTTTGCACCCTTTACAGGCAAAAAGCACAGGAAATGATAAACTCACAAGTATTTTAGAAGGATAAACATACTTTTTTACACTCAATGTACAGGTTCCAGCACAGCATGTTTTTAACAGCTCATTAATTTCAATGGACTGGCACACCTGCGAGAATATGCAAAAAGTATGGCAGGTGAAACTTTCAAAATGAGCTGCACAAAACCGTCTGGTACTGTGGTACCATGGGTTTTAGTGGCAGCAATGTGCTTGTGTTTTTTTGTAGATGTGTTTTGAGTACCATTAATAATTAATGGCACATGTTTTCCCATGCGGTGTGGGAAACGTGCATAGAAATGCACATTTTTTGACCAGCAATTGGTATAAATGGGCTCTTACTGACAGACTGCATCATAGATGTCATTTTTTGTTTTGCCTTTGAAACTCCTCCCAATCACCAAACACATGAGGTGTGAGTCTGCCCCCCCCCCCCCCCCCCCCCACAATGATGCCAGTCTGTGCACGCCCTACTTAATGACAGTGCCTAGGTGCAGAGTCAGCAGTGTCCTGAGGCCACCAGCATCACACTATTTAATAGTAATAGAAGAACAACACATTGCAGAGACTAAAGACTAGCCACCCCTGTACAAAGAGAACACTAACAAAATAGGGAATGTGCTAATAAGAGTTTCTAAAAAATAAAAAGAAAGAAACCTCAGCGCCCAGGACCTCCTTCCCCACACACTTAACCACGTGAGATGCTTCTGTGCATAAGTATAAATCCAAAAAATATTTTTTTCAACTAAAAACAGCGCAAAACACACCAGAAAGCAATCTATAAAATACCCAAACTATAAGCAATATTAATGCAAATTATTACAATTTATATATAAGTGTCAAAAAACAAAATATTTTGTGGCACATACAAAAAACAAAAAAATAAAGTCCAGTGACATATCCAAAAAAACGTCCCGATAAAAAAAACAAGCTAAAAATTCTTCAGTGCCAATAATAGTCCTTCCACCATCCACCAGTGCAAAACCAACATGAACCGCACTCACCAGATGTTTGGTGAGTATAACACCTTTCAGGATTATTAAGGACTCCTGGACCCCCTTTTTATTAGCCTCCAGATACTGCCTCCTCTAGAACATAGATAACCTCCTCCGATTCCTCCCCTCACCGACTCCACCAAAATTCAGGAAGAAAAAAGCCAAATAGCGTGATACCGTTATGACTTTCAATCCCAATAACCCTTAAACCAGACCACTCACATTTATAAGTATAATAACCAGCATTTTATTGTTATAATAACAATTTTCCATAAATCTTCTAGTAAGACCCCACAGCCAGGTAACCCAGCAGGATGACAGACCTCAGAATCAGCTTCCTCCACTAGGCAAGATGGCCCCTGGAACGCACCGCTCAGCGTGCGTTCCACTTCACTGGAAATGACGTCGGACGCCGGGACGGCCAGCCGGAAATACGTCAACGTGTTTCACCCCACCCACAGGGCGTTCTCAAGACCTGCTGAAAGCCAGATTCTCCAACTCTCCCTACCCCCACATTCATAAGCTGCAGGAGAAAAATGGAGGGCATTGGTTCCTTTATATGCCACCCCTGCTGCATGGTTTGTTGCACTGGGGCCCTCTGATATGAATAACAAGAATTTTAGCAAATAATGAATAACAAATACAAATGACTTTGGTGAATCCTTCATTCACCAACAAAGGTTTTATTGTTGGTGATCTAATTGTTTATTGTTGGGCTCTAATTGTCTAATTGGATGTAAACAGACATGTGTCCATTTATATCCAGCAGAGAGGAGAATGGAGGTTTCAATCAGGTAAGCCTGAAAAATGAACAGGTGGACTCAATCGGAACATTTGTGTGAAAGGGGTCTTATTGTCGCATTCATAAAATGCTCTCCTGCAGCTGGTAAGTCTTGCTTTTGATTTTTTCATAAGGACGGATTTTAATTTGTCCTGGAGGTTTTGGAGTTGGCTCCCACTTGTATTGCCAATGACTTCTTGTGTACCTTTTCCAAAGAATGGATTTCCAAAAAGGGAGTCTGTCTGAGAGTTGAGGTATTTCTTCCCATGAAACCCTAATTAGAATTATCCCTCATATTGCACATTTGTGCATTTTCCAGAGACTGAAAGAAGAAATGTGCTTGGTATTGTTTGGGGTAAAGAACAAATCTAGTCTCTATAGAATATTACTTTTTAAGTCAGGTTCTATATGAGTGTCTCATTTAGTTTCTAATGCTATGCACTGGGTGATGGGTCACCTAACTCAGGGAGCAATGTGTGAGGATGTGGTTGAAAAGGGTGAAGGAACCAACAGAGGTGGATAAATGCAATACGAAAATGCAATTAATTTTGGTTTGTTGCAATATGAAAATGTAATTGATTTTGGTGTGCTCTATATCCTATGGTGGGCCAAGTAAAAAGTGTAGTCTCTATCAAGTGTGTTGAGAGTTCTGCGGCTATCCACTAAGTGATGGTAGTGGAGCAGTTTTTTTGGTCTTTCACAATTTTGAGCATGATAAGTGAGATGTGTTCTTAGAAATGTCCAGCAATGGGTCTAACACCAAGTTACAGTCACCCCCTAGAAGGAGAATTCCCACTTTATGTTGTTCTACCTAGGTCTAGAGATGAAACCTGGCCCTCATATGGTAAATGTAAACTGACTAGAGTATGGGAAGGAAGGGGAAGAGAGTACTGCTTCGCTAGGGAAGGAGGTTTATAGGTATGGGTAAACTCCCACTGAAGGACAGTAGAGATGAGCGAATTATTCAAAAATTCGATTCGACTGATTCGGCGAATTCGTGAAAAAATTTCGATTCGAGTCGAATATATTCGCTGCGAATTTAACTTATAAAAGGGTGTTTTCTAGGCTTCAGAGAGCCTTTATATTAGTGCAGAACACTGTACCTTTAATTTAAATGCCCTTGGAGTCTGCTGGGGAAGAGAAATAATACTGTCAGTCAGTATGACATGCAGATGAGTGCCGTCGATCTTAGAATCACCGCACACTTCACTCATTTGGGCAGTCACGGGGCCAAAACCAGAGTGTGGAGCCACAGTGTGGCGGTGGAGGCAGCAGCAATGGGAGGCCATACAGCACCCTATGACAAAATGGAACCCACCAGCAGTGTGAGGAGACCTGAAAGTGGCACATGGCAGAGTGTGGCGATGGAGACAGCAGCAATGGGAGGTGGTACAGGGACCCATGGCACACTCTGGACCTGGCAGCAGCATGAGGAGGCGGTACAGGGGCCCATGACAGATTACGGGCCTGGCAGCAGCATGAGGAGTTGGTACGGGGGCCCATGGCAGATTACGGGCCTGGCAGCAGCAATGGGAGGCCGTACAGGGATCCATGACACACTCTGGACCTGGCAGCAGCATGAGGAGGCGGTACAGGGGCCCATGACAGATTACGGGCCTGGCAGCAGCATGAGAAGTCGGTACGGGGGCCCATGACACACTCTGGACCTGGCAGCAGCATGAGGAGGCGGTACAGGGGCGCATGACAGATTACGAGCCTGGCAGCAGCAACTTGGACAGGAGGACGTTCAGCTTCTGCACCGTCGGGTGCGTGCTCGCAAACTGTTGTCTCTTGGAAACGGATTCCAAGAAAGACTGCTGACGGAATCCGTGAAGAGGAGTAGCAGGAGAAGGAGCATCTGAACGAGCGGAATATGCCAACAAGCGACAACAGGGGCCCATGACAGATTACGGGCCTGGCAGCAGCATGAGGAGTCGGTACGGGGGCCCATGGCAGATTATGGGCCTGGCAGCAGCAATGGGAGGCCATACAGCACCTATGACAAAATGGAAACCCACCAGCAGTGTGAGGAGACCTGAAAGTGGCACATGGCAGAGTGTGGCGATGGAGACAGCAGCAATGGTAGGCCGTACAGGGACCCATGAGACACTGTGGACCTGGCAGCAGCATGAGGAGGCGGTACAGGGGCCCATGGCAGATTAAGGCCTGGCAGCAGCAATGGGAGGCCCGTAATCTGCCAGCACCCTATGACAAAATGGAACCCTGGGCTGGGGCAGGCAGAACCGCCGTATCTTTATCACGGTTTTCCAAGGCCACCGAATGGCGACGCTGCATATGCTGACGCAACGCTGTAGTCCCAACATGGGCCCCCTGGCCACGCATGACTTTCTGGCCACATAGTCGACATACGGCTACGTTTACTCGGGCGGCTTGATGAAAAATTGCCACACCGCCGAGTAGGAAACTTTGCCCCCGCTACTCCTCACTGGCTGACTGCTACTTCCTCTGTGCACACCGGCACCACTACTGGCCGTGGTGGTAGGCTGCAGTGGAGCTGGTGCTCTACTCTGTGGCCGTTTGCCTCCACTGACACTGCTGCGACCCTGCTGCCTCCTGGCAGCAGCAATGGGGAGGAGGAGGCGGTACAGGGGACCATGGCAGATTAGGGGCCTGGCAGCAGCAATGGGAGGCCCGTAATCTGCCAGCACCCTATGACAAAAAATGGAACACACCAGCAGTGTGAGGAGACCTGAAAGTGGCACATGGCAGAGTGTGGCGATGGAGACAGCAGCAATGGGAGGCCGTACAGGGACCCATGAGAGACTGTGGACCTGGCAGCAGCATGAGGAGGCGGGCGGTACGGGGGCCCATGGCAGATTACGGGCCTGACAGCAGCAATGGGAGGCCCGTAATCTGCCAGCACCCTATGACAAAAAATGGAACACACCAGCAATGTGAGGAGACCTGAAAGTGGCACATGGCAGAGTGTGGCGATGGAGACAGACAGCAGCAATGGGAGGCCGTACAGGGACCCATGAGACACTGTGGACCTGGCAGCAGCATGAGGAGGCGGTACAGGGGCCCATGGCAGATTACGGGCCTGGCAGCAGCAATGGGAGGCCCGTAATCTGCCAGCACCCTATGACAAAAAAATGGAACACACCAGCAGTGTGTGAGGAGACCTGAAAGTGGCACATGGCAGAGTGTGGCGATGGAGACAGCAGCAATGGGAGGCCGTACAGGGACCCATGAGAGACTCTGGACCTGGCAGCAGCATGAGGAGGCGGTACAGGGGCCCATGGCAGATTACGGGCCTGGCAGCAGCAATGGGAGGCCCGTAATCTGCCAGCACCCTATGACAAAAAATGGAACACACCCAGCAGTGTGAGGAGACCTGAAAGTGGCACATGGCAGAGTGTGGCGATGGAGACAGCAGCAATGGGAGGCCGTACAGGGACCTATGAGACACTGTGGACCTGGCAGCAGCATGAGGAGGCGGTACAGGGGCCCATGGCAGATTAGGGGCCTGGCAGCAGCAATGGGAGGCCCTTAATCTGCCAGCACTCTATGACAAAATGGAACACACCAGCAGTGTGAGGAGACCTGAAAGTGGCACATGGCATGACACACTGTGGACCTGGCAGCAGCATGAGGAGGCGGTACAGGGGCCCATGGCAGATTAGGGGCCTGGCAGCAGCTATGGGAGGCCCGTAATCTGCCAGCACCCTATGACAAAAAATGGAACACACCAGCAGTGTGTGAGGAGACCTGAAAGTGGCACATGGCAGAGTGTGGCGATGGAGACAGCAGCAATGGGAGGCCGTACAGGGACCCATGAGACACTGTGGACCTGGCAGCAGCATGAGGAGGTGGTACAGGGGCCCATGGCAGATTAGGGGCCTGGCAGCAGCAATGGGAGGCCCGTAATCTGCCAGCACTCTATGACAAAATGGAACACACCAGCAGTGTGAGGAGACCTGAAAGTGGCACATGGCATGACACACTGTGGACCTGGCAGCAGCATGAGGAGGCGGTACAGGGGCCCATGGCAGATTAGGGGCCTGGCAGCAGCTATGGGAGGCCCGTAATCTGCCAGCACCCTATGACAAAAAATGGAACACACCAGCAGTGTGTGAGGAGACCTGAAAGTGGCACATGGCAGAGTGTGGCGATGGAGACAGCAGCAATGGGAGGCCGTACAGGGACCCATGAGACACTGTGGACCTGGCAGCAGCATGAGGAGGCGGTACAGGGGCCCATGGCAGATTAGGGGCCTGGCAGCAGCAATGGGAGGCCCGTAATCTGCCAGCACCCTATGACAAAAAATGGAACACACCAGCAGTGTGAGGAGACCTGAAAGTGGCACATGGCAGAGTGTGGCGATGGAGACAGCAGCAGCAATGGACCTGGCAGGGACCATGAGACACTCTGGACCTGGCAGCAGCATGAGGAGGCAGGGGGCCCATGGCAGATTAGGGGCCTGGCAGCAGCAATGGGAGGCCCGTAATCTGCCAGCACCCTATGACAAAAAATGGAACACACCAGCAGTGTGTGAGGAGACCTGAAAGTGGCACATGGCAGAGTGTGTGGGATGGAGACAGCAGCAATGGGAGGCCGTACAGGGACCCATGAGAGACTCTGGACCTGGCAGCAGCATGAGGAGGCGGTACAGGGGCCCATGGCAGATTGGGGCCTGGCAGCAGCAATGGGAGGCCCGTAATCTGCCAGCACCCTATGACAAAAAATGGAACACACCAGCAGTGTGTGAGGAGACCTGAAAGTGGCACATGGCAGAGTGTGGCGATGGAGACAGCAGCAATGGGAGGCCGTACAGGGACCCATGAGAGACACTGTGGACCTGGCAGCAGCATGAGGAGGCGGTACAGGGGCCCATGGCAGATTAGGGGCCTGGCAGCAGCAATGGGAGGCCCGTAATCTGCCAGCACTCTATGACAAAAAATGGAACACACCAGCAGTGTGAGGAGACCTGAAAGTGGCACATGGCATGACACACTGTGGACCTGGCAGCAGCATGAGGAGGCGGTACAGGGAGCCCATGGCAGATTAGGGGGCCTGGCAGCAGCTATGGGAGGCCCGTAATCTGCCAGCACCCTATGACAAAAAATGGAACACACCAGCAGTGTGTGAGGAGACCTGAAAGTGGCACATGGCAGAGTGTGGCGATGGAGACAGCAGCAATGGGAGGCCGTACAGGGACCCATGAGACACTCTGGACCTGGCAGCAGCATGAGGAGGCGGTACAGGGGCCCATGGCAGATTAGGGGCCTGGCAGCAGCAATGGGAGGCCCGTAATCTGCCAGCACCCTATGACAAAAAATGGAACACACCAGCAGTGTGAGGAGACCTGAAAGTGGCACATGGCAGAGTGTGGCGATGGAGACAGCAGCAATGGGAGGCCGTACAGGGACCCATGAGACACTGTGGACCTGGCAGCAGCATGAGGGAGGCGGTACAGGGGCCCATGGCAGATTACGGGCCTGGCAGCAGCAATGGGAGGCCCGTAATCTGCCAGCACCTATGACAAAAAATGGAACACACCAGCAGTGTGAGGAGACCTGAAAGTGGCACAGAGTGGGCATGACACACTGTGGAGGCCGTGGGACCCATGAGAGACTCTGGACCTGGCAGCAGCAGAGGGGCGGTACAGGGGCCCATGGCAGATTAGGGGCCTGGCAGCAGCTATGGGAGGCCCGTAATCTGCCAGCACCCTATGACAAAAAATGGAACACACCAGCAGTGTGTGAGGAGACCTGAAAGTGGCACATGGCAGAGTGTGGCGATGGAGACAGCAGCAATGGGAGGCCGTACAGGGACCCATGAGAGACACTGGGACCTGGCAGCAGCATGAGGAGGCGGTACAGGGGCCCATGGCAGATTACGGGGCCTGGCAGCAGCAATGGGAGGCCCGTAATCTGCCAGCACCCTATGACAAAAAATGGAACACACCAGCAGTGTGTGAGGAGACCTGAAAGTGGCACATGGCAGAGTGTGGCGATGGAGACAGCAGCAATGGGAGGCCGTACAGGGACCCATGAGACACTGTGGACCTGGCAGCAGCATGAGGCAGGAGGCGGTACAGGGGCCCATGGCAGATTACGGGCCTGGCAGCAGCAATGGGAGGCCCGTAATCTGCCAGCACCCTATGACAAAAAATGGAACACACCAGCAGTGTGTGAGGAGACCTGAAAGTGGCACATGGCAGAGTGTGGCGATGGAGACAGCAGCAATGGGAGGCCGTACAGGGACCCATGAGAGACTCTGGGACCTGGCAGCAGCATGAGGAGGCGGTACAGGGGCCCATGGCAGATTACGGGGCCTGGCAGCAGCAATGGGAGGCCCGTAATCTGCCAGCACCCTATGACAAAAAATGGAACACACCAGCAGTGTGAGGAGACCTGAAAGTGGCACATGGCAGAGTGTGGCGATGGAGACAGCAGCAATGGGAGGCCGTACAGGGACCCATGAGAGACTCTGGACCTGGCAGCAGCATGAGGAGGCGGTACAGGGGCCCATGGCAGATTAGGGGCTGGCAGCAGCAATGGGAGGCCCGTAATCTGCCAGCACCCTATGACAAAAAATGGAACACACCAGCAGTGTGAGGAGACCTGAAAGTGGCACATGGCAGAGTGTGGCGATGGAGACAGCAGCAATGGGAGGCCGTACAGGGACCCATGAGAGACTCTGGACCTGGCAGCAGCATGAGGAGGCGGTACAGGGGCCCATGGCAGATTAGGGGCCTGGCAGCAGCAATGGGAGGCCCGTAATCTGCCAGCACCCTATGACAAAAAATGGAACACACCAGCAGTGTGTGAGGAGACCTGAAAGTGGCACATGGCAGAGTGTGGCGATGGAGACAGCAGCAATGGGAGGCCGTACAGGGACCCATGAGAGACTGTGGACCTGGCAGCAGCATGAGGAGGCGGTACAGGGGCCCATGGCAGATTAGGGGCCTGGCAGCAGCAATGGGAGGCCCGTAATCTGCCAGCACCCTATGATGACAAAATGGAACACACCAGCAGCAGTGTGAGGAGACCTGAAAGTGGCACATGGCAGAGTGTGGCGATGGAGACAGCAGCAATGGGAGGCCGTACAGGGACCCATGAGACACTCTGGACCTGGCAGCAGCATGAGGAGGAGGCGGTACAGGGGCCCATGGCAGATTAGGGGCCTGGCAGCAGCAATGGGAGGCCCGTAATCTGCCAGCACCCTATGACAAAAAATGGAACACACCAGCAGTGTGAGGAGACCTGAAAGTGGCACATGGCATGACACACTGTGGCGATGGAGACAGCAGCAATGGAGGCCGGTACAGGGACCCATGAGAGACACCTGGCAGCAGCATGATACAGGGGGGCCTTAGGGGCCTGGCAGCAGCTATGGGAGGCCCGTAATCTGCCAGCACCCTATGACAAAAAATGGAACACACCAGCAGTGTGAGGAGACCTGAAAGTGGCACATGGCAGAGTGTGGCGATGGAGACAGCAGCAATGGGAGGCCGTACAGGGACCCATGATGAGACACTGTGGACCTGGCAGCAGCATGAGGAGGCGGTGTACAGGGGCCCATGGCAGATTAGGGCCTGGCAGCAGCAATGGGAGGCCCGTAATCTGCCAGCACCCTATGACAAAAAATGGAACACACCAGCAGTGTGAGGAGACCTGAAAGTGGCACATGGCAGACAGGGACCCATGCAGCATGAGGAGGCGGTACAAGGGGCCCATGGCAGATTAGGGGCCTGGCAGCAGCAAAAAGGGAGGCCCGTAATCTGCCAGACCTATGACAAAAAATGGAACACACCAGCAGTGGTGAGGAGACCTGGGGCACATGGCAAGCAGGCATGAGGAGGCAATGGGAGGCCGTACAGGGGCCCACAGTTGGACCTGGCAGCAGCATGAGGAGGGGGTAAGGGGCCCCTGGCAGATTAGGGGCCTGGCAGCAGCAATGGGAGGCCCGTAATCTGCCAGCACCCTATGACAAAAAATGGAACACACCAGCAGTGTGTGAGGAGACCTGAAAGTGGCACATGGCAGAGTGTGGCGATGGAGAGACAGCAGCAATGGGAGGCCGTACAGGGACCCATGAGACACTGTGGACCTGGCAAGCCTGAGCATGAGGAGGCGGTACAGGGGCCCATGGCAGATTACGGGCCTGGCAGCAGCAATGGGAGGCCCGTAATCTGCCAAGCACCTATGACAAAAAATGGAACACACCAGCAGTAGTGAGGAGACCTGAAAGTGGCACATGGCAGAGTGTGGCGATGGAGACAGCAGCAATGGGAGGCCGTACAGGGACCCATGAGACCACTCTGGACCTGGCAGCAGCATGAGGAGGCGGTACAGGGGCCCATGGCAGATTACGGGCCTGGCAGCAGCAATGGGAGGCCCGTAATCTGCCAGCCACCCTATGACAAAAAATGGAACACACCAGCAGTGTGAGGAGACCTGAAAGTGGCACATGGCAGAGTGTGGCGATGGAGACAGCAGCAATGGAGGCCGTACAGGGACCCATGAGGACACTGATGGACCTGGCACAGCAGATGAGGAGGCAGTGGTACGGGGGCCCATGGCAGATTACGGGCCTGGCAGCAGCAATGGAGAGGCCCGTAATCTGCCACCCCCTATGACAAAAAAATGGAACACACCAGCAGTGTGAGGACGACCCTGAAAGTGGCACATGGCAGAGTGTAGGCGATGGAGACTAGCAGCAAATGGAGGCCGTAATACAGAGAAGCCCATGAGAGACTCTGGACTGGCAAGCAGCAGTGAGGAGGCGGTACGGATGGCCCCCTGTCAGATTAGGGGCCTGGCTGAATCAGCAATGTGGAGGCCCGTACTCTGCAAGCACAATATGACAAAAAATTGGAACCACCTAGGCAGTGTTACGAGAGTGACATGAAAGTTGGCATCATGGCAGAGGTTTGTGGCGATGGAGACAGCAGCAATGGGGGGCCCGTACAGGGAACCATGAGAGACTCTGGACCCTGGCATGCAGCAATGAGGATTGGCCCGATGACGGGGGCCCATGCAGATACGGGCCGGGCAGCAGCAATGGGGGGCCCGAATCTGCCAGCACCCATAAAAAAAAAGGAAACCCCCAAAAGAGCTGGTGGGGAACCCCTGAAAGTTGCACATGGCAGAGTGTGGCATGGAGCAGCAGCAATGGGGGGCCGACAGGGCCCAGAACACTGTGGACCTGGCGCAGCAGAAAGGCTACAGGGGCCCACGGGGGGATTCGGGCCTGGCACAATGGGGGGCCCGAAAACCCCCACCCCCTATGACAAAAAATGGAAAAACCCCACATGGGAGGAGACCTGAAAGTGGCACATTTTTGGGGGCATGATTAAAGGGGGGTTTTTAAGTCATTTAGTGCCCGGGAACTGGGGGTTTTTCCCCAAATCCAGATTTAATCCACGCCGGGTTTCTTTTCAAAAACGTGGGGGTCCTCCCCAAAACATTTTGGGGGGAAAAATTCCGTGTCCTCCGGGGGGTTTTCCCAATACCCCCTGCCGCACTAAAAAACCGCCCCCCCCGATGCCCCTCCCTTTTTGGCCCCGGGCATGACAGCCTTTCAAGGCAAATTCAGTTTTTTTTGGGGGGCCAAAAGGGAAATTTTCGTTGCCCAGTAGTAAAAGGGGTTTTTGGGTTTACCTCGGTTGGAAAGGGTTCTGTCCAAGTAGGCCCAAGCCTTTTTTTTTGAGGCCCTTTCTCCAGGTCCCACCTGAAAAGCTCCCGCGCTGCCTGGTTTTTTTAGTTTTTTTTCCCCACTGGGGCTTTTTGAAGAAAGCTACTCCCTCATCGACCGCAACGAGGGCACCGCTGCTGGTGGGGCTGGGCCCCCTTTCCCCTAAACCCCCCCACCCCCCCCCCTGCGCCCTGGGAGCGGAACGCGAGCGCACAGGGGCCCCCCAAATGTCCGAGGAGGACGTTTTGGGGCACAAAGGGAGAGGCCAATGACTACAAGATGGGGTTTTTTAGTAAAGTTTTTTTGGGCCCCCCCTCTCAGCCCGGGGTAAAAAGGCCCCCCATTTTTTAACGTTAAACGAGGGTCCAACCCCGGTGGACAGCCAAAAAACATCCCCTGTCTTATTTATTATTTGGCGGGCGCTAGACGCAAAACAAGCGAGCATGCTATGGGGGCCCCTTTTGTGCAAGGGAAAGCGAGGGAAATCCCGCCTCCCTCTCCACAGCATACGCCCCGGTGCGTCTGGGTCCTCCTTTTCCCCCTCCTTTCCCCCCCCCCTACCAGATCCCCCTGCTCCCCCAAATCCTGTTCCGCCGAGTTTTAAA